CACACATAATAATATCTCATATTAGACCTTCTTTTTAAGCCAAGTATATAAAGTATCAAGTATAGATTTTTGAATAGTTAGGTAGTTATCAAATCAAAAGAGTTGTACCTAAAAATTTTCAAATCAAGTAAGTATTTTTCGCCAACCGGGCCTCTGACCCAGTGGTTAGCCCCCAAGCATTAGGGCTTGAGTGAAGCGGGAGGTCAGGGCTTCGAACTTTGCTATCGCCGTGAACTCCACCAACTTGCGACCTAATGGTTACGCGCCTCATCTGAGGGGTGAAATGTTCACTATTCTGGGAAGTCCTAGTTGCTAACATCTAACTCTACTAACTTCCTAACCATTACCCTTGTCAAAAAAAAAAAAAATAGTAAGTATTTTTCATATCAGATCCGTACTCATAAATGCTTAGCACTATCCATTATGCAACTCAAGATAAAAAAATATATATAAATATATTTAAGATTTATTTTAAGATATTAGTGTTTGTAAGCCAAATTTCTAAATGAAAAACACAATATATATATATATATATTTAATAAAATACTATTAAAAAAAACCATAACAGTTACATTCCTAGTTAAAAGGATTATTTTAGTTATTTGAATGAATTTATTGAAATTACGTCATTCGAGTATTTCCCTCTGAATTTTTAGTAGTCCGACTATTAAACATTTTCTCTTTATTTTAACTGATGTTTTATATATTTCTATAATAGTAAAAAGAGAAAAGAACCTACTACCACCGCGTTGCACTACGCTCTAAACACAAAGTTGGGTAACCAATCTTTCAAATTTAGACATTCATGACTACGATTCATTTGTTATTTGTATGTATCTTACCTGCTTAAATAAGTATATTACTTAAATTATAAAATTCATATATTTGTAAATATAAAATTGAATAACAAATATAAAAGTTTAGAATTGTTTATTTGATTTATTTAATTGACCCATTAACTGCACTTATATAATTAAAAATTTACATGTTTTTATTATATTTAATATCGATAATATAATAATAATTTTAAAATAATAATAATAAAAAAATACAAAAATAAAAATTAAAGTTAAGTGAGGCCTCTAAATCAAACAAATCACACATAAAATAATAGTAGCTCTTATAAATAACAAACATTACATCAAAACACATAATACACACATTAATGGTAACTTGTACAAAATCTCTTCTTACCTTTAAGTCAAATACATAAATATATACTTACTGATATTTATTGGATTAGATACCAAATATATATCTTTAAGTATTTTAGTAAGTATCAAATATAAAAAATTATACTTAAAAAATTTTAAATCGAATACCAAATATAATTCATACTCCACCTTTACTTAAAAATACTCACCCTATTCATAACCAAAATCTAAATTAAGCTATTGTGACCAACTGTGCAGTTTTACCTATCAGTCTTTTAGGGCATGTTTGGTGCAGCTCCTAAGAGCTTCAGATTTTACACACTATTCATGTCTCATGAATTTAAATTTTCCTCTTAAAAACTTACACTTTTAAATATTTTTTTAACCTCAAAAAGCTCTTAAACAGTAAAACCTCAAAAGTTTCAAATCCAAACTTTTCATAAACTCTCTTTTTACTTACTTTTCACTTACTTTTTCACCTTTCTAAAAGCTAAAGCTCTATTTTCTGTCACGCCCCAGAACCCAAATCCGGGGTCGTGGCAGACGCCGTGCACTCGTTAACGGGGCCCACAAATGCACAAGGCTCGAGACCTACTGAATTCTTACTTAACAATTCAGATTTAAGCTTTTAAATTTACCAAATAGTTACCAGTCGAATGTACAAAATTTATCACTTCATATATATAATCATGACTAACACTAAATTCTGTACACAAAATTTTCTATGTCAAGCATGGGTGACTAACGGCATAGCTACAAAAACCTAAGTCCAAAAGTGCCTAGCCGTCTAGTTCGCCACTCCCCCGGGCTCTCCACGCGTCGGGTCTCACTACCTGAAATGGTGGACAAGGAAACTGTGAGATAGAAATATCTCAGTAAGTAAACATGGGGACCCGACATCAAAGTTTAAAGCATGCCAAATAATCGGTTGAAACATGAACAGAGCGTTTCAATAACAAATCATTAATGCAAGTAAAATCACGTAGTGATCTCCTCTATTAGTCATGGCCACTGTTATCATGGCCACTGTTATAAACCTCCCACTGGCAGGTACACGAGTACTAGTGTATAATCCCCACTAGTAGGGCCACGAGCGAATCGGTTCTATCACGAACATGTCGACATGTGCTAGCGTTTGTAACCTCCCCCACTAGC